ATATGTGCAGTGGGCAGACATTTTATTACTATGTTCTAAAGCACTGTCTGAAGCATTAGAACAGAACAGTTGTGTTAGAGGGGACATGGAGAGCCAGAAGCTGGTTAAAATAAAATCCCAAATTTCTCATACACTTATATATTGTCTGCATACATCATATCTTTGCAAATCTGAAATGGAGATGCTTAGTTTAATGTTAATTTTTTGGAATGTTTCCATCTATTTATAATTACATGTCATCAAGTCAATTCTGATTTATGGTGACACCTTTCAGGGTTTTCTAGGTAAATGGTACTCTAAATTTTATTATTCCCTTATTCTGGGGACGTCCTGGGACTATGTAGTTTGCCCAAGACTACATGGGCTGGTTCTTCTGGGGTGCAAAGTGGGGAATATATATTCAGAAAAGTAATTTCAGATTCTTTTAAAAAAAAAAAAAATACTGAAACAAAAGAAAATGTTCTGAATTACAATGCTCATGTTTTCCATTTGAGAACCACTGAGTGACTTTAAAAGCTTGGCTCTATTTCTTAAAGATCAATTGCATCTCCTCATTCCAATAATAATTTTTCAAAACGCAGCAGGCCCCAAAACAAACAACGCACACAGATTAGACTTTGCAATTCAATGTCTCAGGAGACAGCTACATAAAAAAAAAAAAATCAAATCTTTTTGCTGGGATCTCAGTTTGAAGCCAGCTTGGTTTGGGGACAGCATGCAAGAGAAACCTCAGAATCCTCAATTTGCAATGCAAAGCAAGCAAGAGAAATATTAATATTTTTGCACGCACTTTTAAAAATAAACAAAGTCAAGCCGTTTTCCATTAAAGCATTCCACAGTGTTTGCCCCAATGTTTGAGAAAACATCTGGATTTTGTCAAAATTATTTTAAATGCTACCCTTTGGAAAGAGGGGTGGGTGGGGATTAAGTATTTAGCAATATGGTCCAATACATTGGAATATGTTCCAATAATGGCCCTTGACAGTGTGTCAGAAAGAGAAGGGAAAAATAAAAAGGGTTGTTGACCATCATATGTGCTGGGAAGGAGTAAAAAAAGGAAACAAGGGAAGTGATCTCCTTTAAAACCAAATATGCAAAAAAAAAAAAGTCTGCTTTAAGAAACGGTTCTTGATAGAAAATATTTCTCCCTGAAATTGGACCTAGAAACTGGGAAACACCTCAAAAGGAAGAGGTGAAAAAGAATCTATAGAAATGAGTACAGATATGCTAATCACCATGGCATGGTTGGATTCAGGCCTGGGACAATAACTCCTTTCCTGTCCTCCCTCAGTCACAAAGCTCCCTGGATGTCCTTGGCCAGCACCAAATCAGTCCTACAAACCTAACAGGGTTGCTGTGCTAGGGGAGAAACATTGCTTTTTGGACTACATCTCCCACAATCCCTTGCCAGCATAGCCACTGGCACCAGGGTGGGGTGGGGATTATGGAGGCTTAGTCCAAAAAAGCAACTTTTCCAAGCCCCAGAGAGACTGGACTAACCCAAGCTTTTTGATTAAAACAATGATTGTCAAAACGTTGTAAAATAATTTCTAGAACCAAGTCCGGATCTCAACACAGGTATCCTGCAGAGCATCTGGATAGTGAGGGCATTGTGCCCATGGCCAAAGGATAAACCAAAATAAGAGAAGAGTCATTCCGAAGACATCACTCTAAGACCTGTTGTGACATTTGCTGGGTGGCCTAACCAACCTCATCTGCTTCTGGGATGTTATTTATATTGCACCAGCAACTTATACGATGATTCCACAAGCCAATGCAAGCAAGAAAAGCAACAGGATTTTGCCTAGAGGCACTTTCTTTTTTAAATGACAACAGCGGGTTTGGGGTGGTGGCAGTGGAAACAGAGAGGGGAAATTTGGAAGGAGTGGTTATCAACAAATGCAGAAATTGACACTTCATTTCAGATGTAGAGGGGTGGCTAAGAAGTAAAAACAAAGGGAAGGGAAAGAACTGTGGCACTTTACAGTATATATTAATTAATGCATCAATAATAATGTATGAGGTGCCACTAGTCTTACTGATGGTTTTGTTGTATCGGGCAAACACAGCTTTCTCACTGGAGACTATGAGGGTAGCTAACAGGGATAAGAATTACACACATATGGCATCACACCTCCATTATCACTCATAACTTACTTTGTGTTGCTGTTCTTAACAAATGTGAACAAGCTCTCTAAAGCTGTCTTATTTCTTTCCAGACTAATTTACAGATAGAAAGGCAGATGATGAAAAAAAAGCAAATCAAACCAAACCAGGACATATTCTTAGCAATCCAAGTCTCCAAACTCTAATGGCATTCTGAAACTAAAATGAGGGAAAGGCTCAATTTGTCCAATTTTCTCTCTCCCCCCCCCATCCCAAACAACCCTGTTTCGAAGCCACATTGGTTAAAGGATTTGATAATAAAATGCACATTTAGAATGCCTTTGGAAAAGGCCACATGGTTCAGAATTACACCAACAAGAGTAAGGAGAGACCTTTATTGAACCATTAAAAAACCCCACCCACATACATACAAATTGCAGACTTTCATGGGGTAAAACCTGGTTTCCTCAGTTTCAAAAATGCAATAAGCTGTATTGGACACCTTCATCATTAAGAATACTCCCTCCCTTCTCCAACCTGCTGTCAGAAGTAATGGCCCAAAACTCCCATCACCCCCAACTAATTTGAATAAGGTGCTCGAATTTTAAAAGCAATGGGACAGATGCCCAGTAGCAGACAGACCTTTGTTTATGGCCCTAGAGAAAGACAATAGAATCAAATGCGGCGAAATCAAATGCCTTGAGCTGATTCTTTCAAAAGCTAAAGCATCCATTTCAGCAAGACTGGCTGGCCTGAACATCTGACCAAGGTAATTGGGGGGGGGGGCTTGATGAATTTCTCTTCCTTCCCCCACCCCTCAGCTCTGCATTGCCCACACGAAGGAAGAGTCTGACAGGACTGGGAAACTAGTCTGTGCCTGTTTTTCAAATGTTAGCATTCTAAGAGCCAACACGGCATAGCAGAAAGAGCGCTGGGCTGGAAGTTCGAATCCTTCTTTAGCCACGGAAGCTCTCTTGAAGGGGCAACAGTAAAACCATTCCTTAAATACTTCCTGTATCTTGAAACCTCTACACCTGATGGCACGTAACAGAGTGAAGCATTCACTCCTCCTTGTTTGGGGATTTTTGGATAAAGACCGAGCAGCTTGTTTCCTTTTGTTTATACATGTGATCAAAAAGAAGAGGAACAGCCCTCCGTGGCTGTTGGGAGCCCCTCGTTGTGCTTCCGCGACTGCTAACTTCACTGTCCTGGAGGGAAACAACCCCCCTCCCCAATTTTTGTCCAGAGGGATTAGGCCGCACCCACCTGCCCTTGCTCATCCTAGTGATGTCTTGATATCTCTCAGATAGGCTGCCCCGAGAGGTGAGGGTTCTAGTAGCCATCTCTGGGAGACCCTTTCCAGGAGGGAGTGATGCTTCCCCTGCGGGGGGGGGGCGCGAGGGGGGCGGCGGCGAAGGAGAACCAAAGATTGCAAGAAGATACCACTCTCAGCAAGTTTTTGCACTCTAGTTACCTATTTATTGCACACGTCAGTTATTTACACCATACCCCAAAGGCACGCGATCTGCATTTTATTGCATATTCTTGACAGCAGATTTGAATGTATTAGGCTTCTAATTGCTTTTGTAGAATCGTAGCAGCTTCTAGAGCTCCTAAGAAGCGATTCGTGGATTCTTCCTTTCTTTCTCTCCGCCACCGAGGCTTGCAGGTTTCACAAGCCGTGCCTCACACTTTTGCCTGGCGCAGGAAAGAGAGCGCGCGAGAAAGAACCGATGCAAACTAAGACCGCAGTCCTAGGCAAACGTACCGGGCCGTAAGTGACATTTAACGCAGTGGGGCTTCCTTTTGAGTAGAGGTGACTAGGATTCCACTAGAAACGTGCATCGGGCCTATGCTTGGCTTAACAGCAGGTAAATCCAAATAAACAATGTCACAGACATTTGTTTGCAACGTCTTCAAGTCTTTAATAAGCATGTCCAGGTTTCTCCGGTCTCTCTCACCAGATCCGGGGCAAGATTTATATTTTATTTAAGAGGAGCGGCGGCGGTTCATAACAAATATCTTACCAAACGCTGCATTAAGCGTCCTGGAGAAACTGGAGCTTCCCCCACATTGTGTCCCCTCTCCCCGCAAAATTAAGCGCACTCCTTACCTCTGCATCTGCTTTTCTGCTGGAACGTACCGCCTCAGAAGATGGCAAGTCACTAATTTGATTTGCACATTCGATGCAGTTATTTCATAGGTATGTTCAATACCCCTAATTACTAGGCCCGGTTAATGCGGAAGAGCCAAACGCTGTGTTTCTTTCGCATACCTGGGCGGATCATTAGAAAAATCTTCATCCCAGTTCTTAACAGAGCACCGTCCTAAATCCACGTACTGTACTGTATTAGGGAAGGCTGAGCCTTGTGCAGCGTGAAATAACTTATTAGGAAAGTTGTTTAAGGAGAATCGAGTCAAAACCCAGGGAATTAATTACTGTAGTTAACTGACCGTGAGAACCGAACGGGACTATAAACTTGAGAAGTGTGTTTTGGGAGGTGGGCTGAAGCTAAGATCTTGGGAAGGGGAGGCACTTCATGGAACCTCGA